GGCTTGAATGCCATGTGTGCATGTGTGTATATGTAGGTATGTATGGGCATTAGTGTCTTAAGGAAATTTGGAGCAAAATTAAATAGCTGTCTTGTGTAGATTTCAAATCTGAAAAAGACTTAAGCAAGCACATGAATTTAATAGTTATATTTTACAGATCATAACAATATTAATTGGCTTTATTGAGTAGAGGAACTGAGTTTCAAATTTGTCCAAGGACTCACAGCTAACTGTAGCCTATACCTCAAGCCTTCTGGCTTATGCTCATTTCCTTTCCACATACCATGGTGCCTCTCGTTTCATCTTGAAAGATGCCATTTCCTTGAAGGATGGATAAGAGGGAGTTAAGAGATTTTAGAAGAAAAGGGAATCTGTTATTAGGTAAATGAAATTGGCAGCCAAGGAAAGAAAGCAGCACAGGGTATTCAGGCAAAGGAAAGGTTTATTTGCAAGCTGCCTCTGGACAAGTTGGAAGCCCACGCAGGAATAAAAAGGGTTGAACCATAACTGGGCCACCACTTATCAAGGCCAGGGGCGGAAGAAGGTGTGGCCACATCAGAACCAGATGTGACCTCCGGGAGGGGGGGGACTGCCTCCAAGTGTGTCAGTTACCTAGGTGACATAGGTACTGGGCAGAGACTTAACCAAGAGGGAAGTAGTCTTCTCTCCCTTCCCAGGGTGGACTTTACATGTATGAGATAATGTAGTTAGAAAGCATAAAGTATCTAGAGATTTATTTTGCCAGTCCTAGGGCTTGAACTCAGGGCCTGGGCACTGTTCCTGAGCTTCTTTTTGCTGAAGGTAGCACTCTACCATTTGAGCCACAGTGTCACTTCTGGCTTTTTCTGTTTATGTGGTACTGAAGAATTGAACCCAGGGCTTTATGCATGCTAAGCAAATATTCTACCACTAAGCCACATTCCTAGCCCTAAAATAATTGTAGATAGATTTTCACTGCATCAATAACTGGTTGCTGTTTTTTTCCAAAGCGAATTGCAAATTAAAGAAATTCAGAAGTGATAAAAATGATTAATATTTTTCTACTGAAAGTTTGTTGGTCATGGAGCCTGAAGTCTGGGCCTGGGCGCTGTCCCTGAGCTCTTCAGCTCAAGGCTAGCACTCTACTGCTTGAGTCACAGCACCACTAGCCTTTTCTGTTTATGTGGTGCTGAGGAATGGACCCGAGGTGCTTATGCATGCAAGGCAAGTGCTCTACCACTGAGCCACCTTCCCAGCGCCTGTTAGGAATCTTGTCACTTAGTTTTCTTTTTTTGTTGGTTGTGGGGCTTGAACTCTGGGCCTGGGCACTGTAACAGACAGAGCTCTTTAGCTCAAGGCAAGCACTCTACTATTTGAGCCACAGTGCCACTTCCGGTTTTCTGGAGATAAGAGTCTCACGGGTGTTCCTGCCTCAGATCTCAGCCTAGTAAGCAGCTAGGATTATAGGTGTGAGCCACTCACTGGTGCCCAACAATTGTCACTTAAAGTATATGGTTGCAATGCTTTAAAACACTATCTTTGATGACAATGATTATTAATATATTTATGAAAACGTACCTCATCCCCACTTGTCACAAGGGGAAGTATGCATTTATATTTTTCCTTATGTGCAGTTGTCATGATGACATAATTATCTTCTTTATATAAAACTCCGGTTGTGGGCTAGAAATAGAACAAAAACGTATATGGTTTATATAACACACACACACACACACAGACACACACACACACACTCAACTCTATGTTTAGAACAGAAAGCTGGTTCTAGGATTTGAACTCAGGTCTTCACACTCTCACTCATACTTTTCTGCTGCCAGTAGGTGCTCTACCACTTGAACCACACCTCCACTTCCATCTTTTTGTTATCTGTAAAAGAGCCTGAATGGGAAGATGATTTAAAGCAGAAGTTTTAAATCTTTAGGAAAAAAAATTCCCATTTGCTAATCCTGTGTCTTCCAATTTAGAAAAAGGATCTTATGTTAGTTCATGTAGCTCCTTTATTAAATGCAAATGTCCAGCTGACTACATTAAAAAATGGCAGTGCCAGGGGAGGAGTGTATATTTTTTCAGTTAAATAAAGCAGTAAAGAGACGCTTCTTTCAAAATACCAATTTTGTTTTCTTAGAACTTACTTAGTACAAGGGCATAGTCTAACTTGCCATTTCACTTAAAAATGTTTAGTTTTTTTCAAAATAACTCAGACTTAAAAAAAACTTCTTAACAAAATCTAAAATGGACAGTCTTCAAATATGTCCATTTTGGATTTTGTTGCCTTGCCAACAAAAAGTATTTAAAAATTAAAATTCAAAATAATATTGATAAACATGAAACATTAATGTAAAATACATTAGGATTGGAATTTTTTTTCCAGAGTCTCTTTTTAGCAAACAATGCAAGTGCTAAAAAGAAGGTCAAATGATCATCTGGGAGTAACCACATAGGTTGTACTTCTAGGTGCATACATTGAGAGATACATTTAAACATGGTTTTTGTTGTTGTTGGTTGTGGCTGGGCCTGGGTGCTGTCCCTCAGCTCTTCAGCAAGTGCTCTACCACTTGACCCACAGGGCCACTTCCAGTTTTTTGGTGGTTTATTGGAGATAAGAGTTTCACGGCCTTTCTTGCCTGGGCTGGCTTTGAACCATGATCCTCAGATCTCAGTCTCCAGAGTAGTTAGGATTACAGGTATGAGCCACTGGCACCCAGCTTTAAACATGCTTCTAAAACACAGGTGCAAGAGTAAACAGATTTCAATAACCACATACAGTAAACATTTACCATGATCATTCCAAGTTTGCTCTTTACAACTAACAACCAAGCCTGGCCTAAAGTATCCTCACCTTAAGACTCCTAAAGCTTTACCTAATTTATAATAAAAATTTACATAGGTATTTTAATACAGAATGACAGCATTTCATGGCATTAATACAGAGATAAGCCTCATTTTTTCAGAGAAATACCTAAGTTCGAGAATTAGTGAACAATCAAGGGAAAACAGTGGTGGGGAAATAAACCAAGTATGAAATACTATAGTAGCTAAAACTACCATTTGCAAACAGAACATTAGAGTAGTTAAGTGGACCAGATAGTATCAGTGCTAACCACAGAGCCCAGGGGACTATTTTTTGTCAGTGGAAACTGTAAAAGGAGGTACTTCAGGATACAGTTCTGAAATAGCACTCATTTCAAATCTCCTTGTGATTATCAGAGCATGATGTAACTTTTTAACCCAATCTCTGAATGCCATAGTTATGGTCAGATTCATATTAGAAAGAGTATGGAATTAGAATCAAGAGTTCTTTTCACTAATCCACATGAATGTAAACCTTTCAAAATAATCTTTGCCTCCTAAAATTATTGCTGCTTAAAGTAATGATAACATTTACTTATGCTCTTAATTCTAAACTTGTGATTTGAGGATCTGATAAAAGAGAAAAAGATATGCTACAAGTGTAATGTAACCCTGTGTGTGTGAGAGAGAGATTGAACCCAGGACCTTATATATGATAGGCAGGCACTCTACCTCTTACCTACATTCCTCATCCTCCAACTTGATAGTGTCTTGTTGTCACAGTGCCATCTATTAATATCCCAATGAAACAGTAACAGAGCAATTAACAATACTCTCCCAACTTGAATGATCACAGATAGTAAGAATGACGAAAGCCTGTTTTGTTTTTCAAGAATTCAATGTGAAATACACGAACTACCATAGGTTATTACATAAGAGCACAATTTCTACTGGCTGGCAACAGCTGAAGGTGGATAGGAAGACTTTGCTGCAGTCCACCCCCACCCCACAAAATTCTCATTTCCATGAGGTTATAAATACATTCGTCACTGCATGAAAATTCATCATTAATAAACCAACTCTCATGTTCTGGGATCTTAAATAGATCTTGGTCCACCAAAACATAAAGAAAAAGGTCTTCCACATGGAAGGTCGTTAAAACATCTCCCAGGCCAGACAAATCCTGGGGAGGGGTGGAGGGTGTAGGACAATTTTGAAGGGAAGAGATTCCCCAGGGGCTGTTGCAAAAGTTTGTGACTTGTCAGTGGACGCGAGAGAGCAAAGCATGTAGAGGTGTGTGTGTGTGTATGTGTGTGTGTGTGGTGGTGGTGAGTTGAGGCTGCAGGACGCTAGGGCGGCCAGGTGGGGGGTAATGCAGAAGAAGAGGACGGGCGGTTCTGCTTGATAAGTCGGGGTGCGCCTAGGTGATCCTAAGGCTTCTAGAAGCCCAGGATGGAGAGCGAGCGTTATGAAAGGGAGAGCGAGGGACGGCTGGATCCTCGCACTGAGGGCGCAACCACCTAATGGCGCCGAATGAATGAATGAATACGCAAGCAAAGGCAGGCAGGCGAGGTAGCAGGAGCTCGCGCCTGTGGAGCAGATCTGGGGACGGGGCGGGAGGAAGCCCTCGGTTCCCGGGGGGGTAGCAGGGATGGCGGCGGGGTTCGCGGCGACACTGACCAGAGAGAAGTCGGTGCCGGGCCAGTTGACGCGGAAGGGCACGTCGTCGCTGAGCGGGGGCAGCGCTCGGCCGCCTCCAGGAGGCCGCAGAGCACCAGCACCAGCGGCCCGGGCCCCGGGCTCCGCGCGCCGCCGCCCCCTCCTCCCATCCTCCGCCGCCGCCTTCTCCGGCCGCCGCCACAGCCTCCTCGGCTCAAAGAGATCGGGAGGAGGAAGAGGTGGAGGAGGAGGAAGAGGAGGAGGAGGAGGAGGAGGAGGCGGCGGCGGCGGCGGCGGGACTACAAAGCGTGCCGGGAGCGAGGGACCCAACCGCCGCCACGTCTCCTTCCGGAGAGTCCGGCAACGCCGCCTCCGCCCCTACTCTCCGCCTGGTGTCCCCCCCCCCCGCCAGTATTTCCGGGGTCAGGCGGCATATCAACATCCGGGGTCACGGGCAGCCCGCTTACGGAAGCCGGGAGGCGGGTCGCGTTTCTGTAGTTCTCTTCTACCTCAGTTCTGAGGTGGGCTCGGATGCCTCGTTTTTCTGGCACCCGACGCCGGAGGGAGACTTAATCTGGGGGACCCGGGGACCAGCTTTTCCCTCTGAGAAGTGGCCGCACGGCGAAGCCGGTGAGTTCCGGTGGCGCCAGCCGCTGCGGGTCGCTGCTCGCGCGCCTCGCTGGTGGGTG